TCACTCTATGTTTGGATGTTTTTAATTGTTCAGTACATCATTTTKCAACATAAGTAAATATGAAGAATTCTGATAGTTATTATTAAATTATCCAGGTTCATTGTTCCTTTGAAGGGARATTTTWAAARCATTTCTGTGTTTAACAACACTGAKTCATGCATGGAAATTGGAACAGTGAAACTACAGGTAGATGAGTGAAGTTTGAGGGAAATGCTGGAGAGACATCCCATTTGAGGTGACCTTGGGAAGCCTAAGAGTTTGTTTCTCCTGAGGCTTCTTCTCCAGTTCGTTGAGAAACTAAGAAAGGCAGGAAGAGATCTGTCTCCTGTCACTAACCACAGAAATGGCACTTAGCATGAACAAACCTATTTCACTGTTTAAGTAACAAAGCTTTTGTCAGTCAGAGAATGACAGTGGTTTGTGGACAGTGATAGCTTGTGCCTCCTGGATTACCACATGCAGGTGTTTCTGTAGTGTCTGGGACTACTTTTTTTCTTCTCCAGAATCATCTTGCACCTGACAGACKACTGAGTTTTACCTGTGTTCTGTGTGGTGATCTCAGATTTATGTTCAGATTAACTAAAAGAGTGTCTTTGGGATCAGGTCTGAACACTTGTTTTTATGCATCCATTGTCTTCTATGGGATTAATTATACAGTTACAGTTATTCTTAGACTTTGGCTTAGGCTAAAGCATTACTAGAAAAGCTGTCTGGGAAAATCTGTATCTATGACTAGTTAGAAGAGCAGTTCTGGTTTTTCAGGCTGAGGAATGTGGTTTTTGTGTTCTAGTTTCTTAACACCATTTTGAAGCAAACAAAAGCCTAACACTGATGTCATGGATCAGCAACATACTTTTATGAAAAATAATATAAAATCAAGATGAGGTTGAAATGTAAATTTCCTAGCTAAGCCGAGTATATCAAATTCAACATGTAGTGCATGTAACATGTGAATATAAAAGGGATTGTTCTGGCTTAAATAAAAGGTCAGTCTGTGGTGTAAGCATGTTCCTGACAGTAAGCAGTACTGCATCCTTAGGGAAAAGTGCAGAAACAAGGCAAATGTGATGTTAATACTGTTTAACTACCTTGCTGCACACTGTTGTAACCTGACAGMTTGAGCATTTTGCTTTCCCTTTTGATCATGGCTTAAATTTATATAAGATGACTTCTTACTTCTTATAGCCTCCCTTCCAGACTGACTGATTTTCTAAAATTCTTTCCTTTTTATCTTTCAATATGTTAATCGTTGCCTTACAGTAAGTAAAGACTTTCCCTTTTTCTTTACTTTTTTTTTCTGTCAAAAAAACTAAGCTGCAGCCAACTTCTTCATATTTTCCTAGTTCCTCTTTCAACCTGAACCTTAGTAATGGAGTACTTCTCACTTTCGTTGTTCCTGTAGAGATAGTGTATTGAAATACCCTGTGATTCATGAGCAGGCATGACATGGATAGTGCCTTCTATTTAGTCCTCACATAACACTCCCWCTGAGAGTTTTCCAGTCTAAACTGGTTAAGCAAAGGATTCCTATAATCTCACTTCTTGAGGAGTTGTCATCTTAAATCATCTGTGATTCTGCATTTAGCAGCTTTTCTTGCTTCTCCAGTCTGTTAACCCTTACGAAGCCATTCTCAAGTGCTAGCAGTCTGCTTTCAGTTCAAGTGAGATGAAAGCTGTCTTGTTTATAGAGGAGCACTTTATTCCTAAAGTTTCTTCCTTTTTTCAGACCACATTTTCTTGGTCATCCATTGTGTGTTGCTAGTCTTCAAAAAAGCACCTAAACTGCTTAAGTTTCACATCTACATTTTATTTACCATAACAGACAGTATTATCTCATAAACTTCCTGCTTGTTATGAAAACATTTTTGGAGTAGAAATCATTYTTTAGTTTGGATAAAAATAGCTTTCCTTGTTTTTAAAATGCTGCAGGTACATGCAATACGAGAATATTGTGGAAAACTGTAGGTACTCAAATCTTTCTCTTCAGAAAAATCTGAACCAACCCCTGGAGGTATTCTAATGCTGTTTTCCAATGATGGAATGAAAAATTGCTCGGAATAGAAGTCATGCTATCTCCCACATCTTTATTTACTGTTTTTTGTTATCTTATTGACAGATAGCCATTATAATTTCCTATTTTGTACAATTTCTGAGTTCCGTAATAAAAAAAGTGTAATCCTTGCCCCACAGTGTCTTCAAAGGCATTGTTTTCAGATAATTGGTTTCTAGAATAATGCACACATAAAGTGACCTTGGTATGTATTTTGATGTGCAGCTGTATGGGTTTTGTATGAGGGCACACTGAGGGACTTCTACCAGACTGTGCTAATGTGATTTGTGTCAGGCCAGGCTAGAAACCACACACAGCTGGTTTATGTTGCCTGTGGGTATGACACCCCTAGTCCACTCATCCAGAGCAGAGAGTTGGTGTATCCTCTCATTTTTTTCTGGCTTCCCTCTAGATTTTATTTCTGCAGAGCAGATAGCARAGCTGGTTTTTAACCTGTGACTGTCCAAGATGTGTGGTTGAGGTGTGACTGGATGCAAATAGAGCAGCAAAATTTTCATGGTGCCCTTGAGTCTTCTCATTCAGATCTAAGCTACAGTCCTGCTCCTGGGACCAATGGAAGTAGGGTGGGAATCTGCCACTTTCATTTTTTGAACTAGATCTTTGTCCTAGCCTTCATAGCTGTTGATAAAACCAAATCAGGAAGGCACTTACAGCTGGCTTTCTTCAGAATGGGGTTGTATCAAAGACTTCATCATGTGGAAAAGGAGGCGGTACAACTGTGCCAGCAATAAAACCATGGCCATCTTTTCTGCATGCAGGTGTCATATTCTGCTGAATGCTAGAACGAGAGAATTTGTTTAATATAAGAAGGGTTTTGCAGAAAACTTTCACGTGAATGCTATAATTTTTCTGTAACATTTTGAAAATTGATGTAGTAGAAAACAGAAAATAAACCTCTCTGGTTGTGAAAAYTCTCTCAAGCATGCAAATTTTTTTAATAAGCTTTTTAATTTTTGTTGAGATGTTTAGTTTTAGTTAACTTTATTCCATTTTCTCACAGTTCATTAGGAATGCCACTCCTCCAACATAGGAATGTMTTTTTCTGCCTCTTGCAGGTAGAGTTTGCAGAATCCTGCATGAGCAGTGGATACCCTGATTTATAGGAAAACTTTCTGATTCATAAGCTTGAGAATGGTTCTTAGAAATAATGGAGTAACAGCCATATAGCTCACAAGACKTCACATATTCTAGACTTCAAGAAGTAAAGTTAAAGCTGCTGCCAAAAATAACTCCASAGGAAGGTGGAGTTTCATTGTACCAGTCCATTTTATTTGCTGGTCACCTGCAGCCCACTGTGGATGTCCATCCCCTCTGCTCAGCTCCCTGATCATTTGCATTCAGCCTCCTGTGTACCAGCTTACCTCTGCCCTTCTGTCCTGCAGCTCACACTGATGTCAGCAAGTTCTCCCACAGTCCAACTCTTTGCACTTGCTTTTATTCAGACTTGGTGTCTGCCAGATGAGGTTCTGGCTCTCATCCCATCCCTCTAGCTGTGCACTTCCTGAAGGCACGTTCTGTCTGTTTGCCAGGTTGGTGATGAAAAATGTTGATTCCAGTGTTGGCCCCGAGAAATTCTTCTCATAGCTCATTTGCCAGTTATACTTCAGGTTTTGATCTCTCTTTGAATCTGACAATGACTTTGAGCCAATTTTCCAGCCCCTTTCTAGACTTTTTGCAGAACTATACTTCATTCCAATGATAATGTGATGGGAGCTAAGCAGAAACAGTTACTCCATGTGAATGTTAAAAACTGAGAACTGAAGCCTGAAATAGCAAGGGATCTGTATTACTTCTCTGTTAAAAGAGTTTGTTCAGCATTTCTGAGAAACCACATCCTTTTGAAATGTCTTGAGTTGGGAGCCAGAGTTACTTTCAGAAGACTAGGCAGTTGTTCTCAAGTAAATATCTCTTTCTTCCAAGGTAGTTCAGTAGACTTTTGGTTTTGGTAGTTTTGCTGATAATTTCCAGGATTCTTGAGTAACATTTCATTTGTATTTTCTGGTTCTTTTCAAGGTTTGATGTAGTCAGAGGTGCTGTGCATTTTGGTAAAGTGCTGCATTATCAAAACTCCTGCATGCAGATTTGCATACTGCAGTCATGCATTGTCAGAACAACTCTAGCTCAACTGTTGTGTTTCTATGGTCAAAGATAGCTCCTTTTCTGCTTTTAGGTCAGGCTAAATTGCAACTTGACTTTTATAGGTAAATACATTGGGTATTGGTTTTTGCAACTTTATCCTCTTTTTAGCAGAGTTACAAATAGGTAGCTGGAGAATGTCAGTTACTGTGTTAGGGTGTTTTGGGAATTTCGCTTTAGCATTGCAGATACATTGACATTGGGTTATAATGTAGCTGTCAAACTGGAACTTTTGTACCTTGATTTACTGTTGTGCCTAGAATTGGAGGGGAAGAAACYCAAGAACTGCACAGAACAAAGATTTGATAGATGAGGGACAATAATAATTGATATTCAGTGTCATTGTAGCTGTAACTATGTAGTAGGAAATGTATTTTTGAATTCCTGTCATTCTTCTATTTCCTGTACTAATTGCATATTGAGCAATAATCTTTTAGTATTTTAAGGCTCTTTTGTGTATTAATTATATGCAGTAGCATCTGGTAAAACTGAATTATTTTACACTTCTTGCAACACCTTAATTTTTAGGAGCATGACAAGAATAACAGTGGGTACTTTTACATCCTCTTACTGCAGGGAAATTTTTGACTAAAAAAGGAATTCTTTTTCATTTGCTTCTAGATCTTTCTAAGAACAGATTTACTGAAATTCCTCCTGATGTCTGGCTGTTTGCACCACTGGAAACTTTAAATTTGTATCACAACTGCATCAAATCCATTCCAGAATCTATTAAAAACCTGCAAATGCTTACCTACCTTAACATAAGGTGAGTAACGGTGGTTGGTTTTGGTCTTTTATATACTCATCTCATTGGAAAGTTGGCATTTTCCTTTATCAGATCATTGTGTTTGCAGAGTTTTCTTTGGTTTTGATGTTCAAACAGTGTTCAGAAGCTACAGGTATAAAATTTGGCTACTATCAAGAGGGTGTGTTACTCTGGGCAGAAAGTCCTGCTCATTTTATACATAATTTACATCTTCTGCTGTACTGCTCTTTTTAAACTTGGAAAACATATGGTTGGATCTTCTCAGAAGAACAGAAGATGGATATGAGCTCTGGCAGGAGAGGGAATCTAGAAAACTCTCCCGACCTTGTTTTCCACAATATTCCTTGTTTCTGATATTGGCTGCAAGAAATCCAAAATAGTTTTCTCAGTTAAGAGCTATTTAAGTCCCCAAAACTTGCTGTGTCTCAAAATCTGCAAATATCAGTTCTTACAGTGCTAATTCATGAGTAATGTGCTCTGTGGCAATTGTAAAGAGGATTAACATGATACAAAATGACAGTATTTTCTGAAAGAAATTTGGGCTTTCTTCAGCAACAGCCCTTTTCTCTTTTGATGGTGTTTGATGTGCTGAATACATTTCATTACACAGAAATGCTTTGTAGGTCTAAGTCTTCTTTYAAGAGTTGACTCTCCTGATCATCCTTTCCCAAACTGTGCTTTGTTCTCATTTCTGTGCTCCTGTCCAAGGACWGCTTTCCCAGTGCAGAAGTATGTGGGCTGTAGTATGGAARAACAGGCCAAAAACCTGCCTTCCTAGCTCAGATGCTTTGTGACAGGAGAAAACCACGTGATCTCAAATTCTAATTTGGGATTCAGATGGTGGAGGAAACGTATTGTGCATTTCATAGTAAAGCAGGCAGCTCCTTAAAAAACCCAAACCTGAAAAAAGAGAGGAAATCTGTGGAAGTGACATGAATGACTGCTTCATTGCCACATTTTTATMGTCAGTTCAGAAAAAGTTTACTTGCACATTATATTTTTGCTTTTCATGCCTTCAACCAAAAAAGCCTGGTATATCTGCCTGAAATACAATACTAAAGGAGATTTAATGTGTACCTATATACAGAACGTACTTGTATTGTTCACTCGGAATTTAAGAGAATAAATATATTGCTTTTATAAAGATACTGCTAGAAATTTCCTTTCATTTTATGGTGCAATGTTTCAAAAATATGTTTTTGTGGACTTTGCAGTTCTATAAACTGTAGTCATGGAGAAAATATTTTAAAAGTCCAAGGTTTTTGGATTGTGAAAACAGTGCTCTGAATACGTATCAGTAAAGCACTAAAATTTCTAGCYTTTCCTTAGTGTAGTATGAACACAAGTATCAGATCTTCTAAGTTTTTTTTTTTGTCAAAAATAGAACTAGTTCTACTTAAATCAAGACCAATTACTGGAGTTTTTTGAGTTTTTGTATGTGAAAGGAAATGCTCTTATACCACATCTGAGCAGCCTGTTTTCCAATGACTTTTAAATGTACCTTATTAGAAAATTTATGGCAGTTGAAGTCCATCTRTATGGGTAGTTTTGTTAATATAGCTTTAAATCCAGTAGTGGGTAACCGTGTATTTCATGTGTACAAAGCAGATGTACATGCATGCAGCTGGAAAATTATATACACAGAAGAAATACATTTTAATTCAGACTACTTTCCACACTGTTGCTCAGCAAAATAAATAAATGTTTAGTGCTTTTTGTGATGGCTCAGGACAGATACAACAACAACGTGAAATGAGAAGCAATGGCCTTATATAAAGTTCTGATTTGGCAGACTGTCAAATGGTCCCTCTGAAGGGTATCAGCAGGATAAAAGAAGTGTCAAAGATTGTTTATTTTAACAGATTTCTCTGCATTTTGGTGTTAGATTCTGTCCTAGTACRTACTCATTTAATGAGTGAAATAGGCATCTAAAATTTACATACCTGAGATAGGATGTATCTGATAAGGAATTTGTGATGGAGATTGTAGATGAAATTGTAATAGGTGGAGAAAGTCTTCTGGGATGGGAGAAAAGTTGTGCAATGTTCATCTCCGAACTCCCTGAGATCTAGAAAAGAGATTAATCTAGCCTTGCTTGTCTCTTTTTCTTTCTTTCAAGTCGAAATCTTTTGTCAACATTGCCAAAATACCTGTTTGATCTTCCACTGAAAGTTCTGGTTGTCAGTAATAACAAGCTGGTCTCCATTCCAGAAGAAATTGGAAAGCTGAGAGGTCTGATGGAGTTGGTTAGTACAACTGTGAATCTTCGTGCTAAGTAAACTTAGAAGCAGTGTRTTTTCAGTAAAATAAATTATAAATTAATATTTTTTAAAATACAGAACTACAGCTAACTTCAGTTACTATGGTTTATTGGTATTTTTGGTTTATTTTTCAAAGTTTCAAACCCAGAATTCATGCTTGGTGGTGAAGATTAGGGCCATAGTTGTGAGAGTTTCATTCCAGTTCCTGTGGTATACCTGTTTGAGACATAAGAAGGCTAGAAAGATTCTATGTGATTGTTTTATCATTCTGGTCTACATAAATTAATTTAAAATAGTGTCAGAAATAGCTGTGTCTGTGTTCATTTGGTACAGCTTTGTCACCCTCTAGTGCTTGTATCCAAAAAGCTGGTGAGCCTTCTGTTGCTCTCTGTATATTTTTTAGTTTTATGTATTGGTGCAAGATTTATTTATGAAAAAGAATTTTTAGAAGAGGAGCAGAATGCCAGTCAGTTGCCAACAATAGCACAAGACGTTTTTAACAGATATAGGAACTATGCCAGAAACTCTTGATTCCTAGTCTACAGCATTAATATCAAAGCCAGTATTTCACCATTCATTGATTTAAYTTGCTGAATTAAATTCCTGGAATCCTTAAATACTTTAAAAATCAGCAAGATCGGTTACAGTGCATCTTCCCTGTGGAAAATCCAAGATAGCTGGAATTTCTTTTATTTTAATAGTATGCTTTATAGTAGTTTTGGTAGCAGTATTCCTTTGTGTAATTTCATTTAAGCTGTTCAGTTGATTTATTAATTATGTCTTTCTTAGGATATTAGCTGTAATGAACTTCAAGTTCTTCCCCAGCAAATAGGAAAATTGCAGTCACTTAGAGAATTGAACATAAGAAGAAATAATCTCCATATGTTGCCAGATGGTGAGCTACTCATCTTCTTTCCATTGATGTAGGTAAATTAGGTAAAGTGATAAGAAGATAACTGATTMTTTTCTTTTTGTTTGCTTCCCAAATGCAGAATTAGGAGACCTTCCCTTGGTAAAGCTGGATTTTTCTTGTAATAAAATTACAGAAATTCCAATTTGTTACAGAAAGTTACGTCATTTACAAGTTATAGTTTTGGATAACAATCCAATGCAGATACCACCAGCACAGGTTAGTATGAAAGTATGCAAGTCCAGAAATTTGCATTAGGATGTTAGGGGAACCTGTTCTAATTTATACCAATCAAGTTTCTTTTYTTTTTATTTAACTGTATTTCTTGTATTTCTCCTTTTGGGGTGTTGTGGTTGCATAGGCAGTGCAGAAGGTATTTCTTGGGGTGTGTTTTYAGAAGACATACTTTGTAATTAAGACTTTCTTTGTTCATTTGTCTCGCAACAGATATGTTTAAAGGGCAAAGTACATATATTTAAATTCCTCAGTATACAGGCGTGCCTCAGAATAGATAAAAAACCAGATTCTTTGGATCTTCCATCATTAGGTAAACGAATTCCCTCCCAGCCACTCACAGACAGGTGAGTTACGGGTTTTTGGGTATAGACAAATAACATATTTTGAAAAGCGTATTTATTTTCTTTTAGGAAAGTGAAACTACTGTTTCTTTCATTCTTCTGTGGGTTTTTTGTGTGTTGCTTTTCTTAATGTAGCATGGAAGACTTTTATCCCAATAAAAATCATGGACCAGACTCTGGCATTGGAAGTGATAATGGGGATAAAAGGTTGTCCACTACAGAAGTGAGTATTTTTTCACTGTTGAATTTGTCATTTCTGCATTTTTAGAACTTTTTCCTTTGTATTCTCTATCATTTGAGAAATACCTCAGTAAGTTGCCTATAGTATTTTTTCAGTATCTGTGCAGTTGAGTTTAAACCATTAGGCTGCCATATCAGACACCCATTATTTATGTATTTCTTTAACTTCTCTGGTTAAGATTGATTCCAGTCAATATGATACAATTAGAATATATTGATAGTCTAATCAATAGGATTTATTAGGAAATAATATAATAATATCATTTACATATCAGTTCTGTACTAAATGTGAGTTTCTTTGCAGCCATCTGATGATGATACAATCAGCCTTCACTCCCAGGTATCAGAATCAACAAGGGAACAGACATTAAGGAATGACAATCACATAATGGGAAGTAAACTTGATCCACAGAAAGGTAATACYAGTTGTACATTTGTCATTTTAAGTAACTGAGAAACTTTGCTTAGGTAACCTAATGTAAGCAAACAGCACAACATTGCTGGATCATGTATTGGTATTGTATTTTCATCATTTCTGAAAACAATGTAATAATCATGGACAGGGCTAGAGAAAAAGGAGAAAAAAGATTATTTCTAGCTTAAGAAGGCATGATTTCTATGTTCTGTCTTTATCTGACATTTTTCATAAGTACTTATTTTTCTCGAAAATAACATTTGGTTGAGAAAACTGTTCAATATCTTTCCTATTCTTCGTAAATCCTCACTAGACCAGGAGGCGTATGACTACATTGATCCCAATGCAGAGGAGGGAGCTCTTCCTGAGCAGGGAGAAGCACAGATTGGCCCACTGCTCTCCTATGTCAAGGTACCAGAGACTGACAGAAGAAAAACTGTTCAGTAACCTTGACTTTAATTTTTTCTTTCCCTTAATTCAAGTCAAACATATTTTTTTTTTTTTTCATTCTTCATAAGGAACGGGGAAAACATCTTGAGAAATCCCAGAAAACAGAACAAAATGAGGATTGGAGAGATGAAAAAAGGTAAATCTTCTTGATCTTTCTTGGGTAGGTTTTACTRGTGGTGGCATGGGTGAAAGTTGGGKTTTTTTTGAGCTCCTTGCGTATGGAGGAAAGGATGCTCATAYTGAACACTAAGTACTCCTCTTGGACAGAAAATAAGCTTATAGGAAGCACTGCTTAGTTATTGCCATGATGAGCCATTTCTTTGTCTTGCTTTCACTGAAGTCAGGCAGATCACTAATGTTTAACTTTGTTCAGACTTCAGAAAGAACAGCTTCTGGCTGAAGATGATGATGAACTCAAAGAAGTGACTGACTTGAGAAAAATAGCAGCTCAGTTGTTGCAGCAAGAACAAAAACACAGGTATTACAATATTAGTTAAAATAACGTCTATTACAATTAACTTATTCTTTGACCTATCTTAAAGTCAAAAGCTTTTGACACCTTATTTGGAGACCAGTTTGTCCAGCTGCCTRAGAGTGAAGTGAAGGACTTTGTCAAGATACATCTGTCCTGTGTTTCTTGTATGAATTACATAACCTGCATACAGTTTGTTTGTGACTGGTTATTTTTATTCAGATACAGCTGATTTAGGTGGTGCTTCTTTCATTTGGTCTAATGTGAGTTACAAATATCCTRTGGACTGAAGGAGAAATTTGCTTGAGCGTTATTCTGTCAAATGACAATATCTATGTAATAAAAATAATTTCAACTGCCTGCCTTTCTCTCCTTCATTATGGACATCTCAACAGAATGATTCTTGGAAAGGAGCCATGGAACAAACAGCAAATTAAAGGAAAACAGAACAAGTTAAGAACTGTGTAAAATGAAGCAKAGGAAGGAATACCTGGGGCCACCTAGGATGTGGCCAGGACAGGGCAGGAGCAGTGTTCTGCACTGTTCCTTTACCAAACAGGCAAATGCTGTAAGGTACTCCGAGAGTAAGCTTTTCCCTGAGAGGTGAAAGCTGTAGTTAATAGTAGTTCATAAAATAAAATAGTTCATAACACTCATTCAGTATGCCACAGTAGTGGATGTAAGTTCATACCAACTTAAATACTACCTTTGTTTCTTTCAAATTTCTGTAAATATGAGACTGCACTGCTGTTTTTTTCTTTTGAGRTACTTGAAATACACCTAAAGCCCTCAGAGAAATTGGGATCCCAGTACTATGAATTGCAGGGTCTTAAAAATTCCCCAGCATTTTGTATTAGCTRAATATAGTAACAATAGTGTGCATCTGTGAAAGATAAAATAGGTTTTTGCTTAGAACTCCATGCCCTGCATTCAAAAATTGGTTGTTGTTCACAGGGAAGGGAGAARTAAGAATGAAATGYTAATGCTAGTGTSTTCTTAGTACCAGAAGGATTGCAGTAAGTCCAAGAACGCTAAATTTTCCTRTTTTRATGAAGAGAGAATGAGCATGTTYTTATATTAGGTTTTTATATGATGGTCATTTATGTTGCATGTGGGTCTTGTTTGATTACATATTTCCTGGTTACCTAATCATTTGAAATACTAAGCTACTTCTTTTCTCAAGCATTGCAGCTTAAATTTTACTCGTCATATGTTGTGTCTTATTGCAGTGGTCTTGCTAATTGTTCTGCTTTGTCTTGAATTATGCAGATGCGCAATCTTAATAATTTCTAAGTTTTACCTCTTATTTTAGCATTTATTTGTTAAAGTTTGCTTATCTGTCTTTAAGTACATGAGCTCAAAATCTCTTGATAGAAAATGTAGCCCTTATTTTGATTCCATGTTTTTTAACCAGCAATAAGAATAATATTTAATACTTAGTGAAGACATTTCTATCTTTATTTGTGGAAAATGTATTCAGTAAACAGAATCCTCAGGGAAATTAAACTTCATAAAATAATTCCTTACTAATCACGCTTCTGTTTGTTCAGTGTATGTTTTTGTAATATTATGCAGTCTCCTYTCCTTTTGCTTGCTATGCTAATGACTTCCCTGTCCTCTCCCATCAACCTATCCTGCTTCCTTCTTCCGTCTTTGGCTTTGGTGTGCATGAAATGTGAATACAGACGAAGGCCACTAAGCTATAGAACTTCATTCAGTGAGAAACTCTTCCAGAGGACCAGGGCAGCAGGACGTGCATCAAGGTATAAAGTGTTTGTGGAGCCTCACATTTCCAGAGTTAAAATGTGGACAACAGAAATGGTTTTGGCCATCTTTTRAACAGAAACAGAATTAAAGGGATTGGCTAAGTTTTACTATCAAATACAAAGATTTCAATATATTTTATTCTTTAGGATGAAATACTAATTAAGGAAAATATTTAGTTAGGCAATTCTCCAAAGAATACTTTGAATCCAAACCTAAAAATTTTTATTTTTCTTTAAGTATACTACCTCAAATATAGTACCTCAGGCAAAGTGGTGCTTTTAGTTTGTTTGGGCTTTGTTTGGTGGTTTTGTGTTRTTTGTTTGATACTTTGGTTTTAAAGTGATGATTTTCAAGTTAGCATGACCAGAGAAAATTTGATTTGCATTTGATCCATGGTGGAAGTATTTGTAATATACAAACCTCAGCAGTAGGGTAAAATACCCAATGGGCTGTGTAGACTATACTTAAACATGTAGCTGTTGAATGATTTCAGACTTTTTTACCTTATAAATTGAAGCTCTGTAACTTAAGTCTGCATACTCTTGTCTTTTTCAAAAGGTRGTAGGGTAGTTTAGATTAAATAATTTTCATTGGTTCCAAATGAGCCTGCTTGAATTATTGGTTAAATCTGGATTCTTACTTCGCAGCAGTGATTTCCAAAAACTGTCTAAATCTAGAAGAGCACAGCTTCAGAGCCAGATGTGAAATCAGTGGACTGCTCTGGTATGAGTTGAAAATTAATCATCTTTGTGTCACTGCTCAAAATTTCAGGTGTCTTTATACACTTTAGAGYTTCAAGATAGTACTTGCTTGTCTAAATGTGAAGATAGCTAACCTTAAAATAACACTGCCATTGTTCACTTCATTCATATCCTTAATCATTGTTGTGTTTGCTCAAAATATGAAAGCATAAGTGGCTGAGAAGAGAATCCACTTTTTAAATTCTGAAACTTTGGAAAATATTTTCTGATATCATAGTTGGTCTTGCCATTGCTTTTTTTCTCTCATCGGGTCAAACACTTTGGAGTAGATGTKGTGCTTGCATAATACAGTAGTAGAAAAATGAGCTTAATATGTAAATATATGTCAAATATATATAAATACGTAGTTTTGAGTAATTTAGATTTTAAAGTCTGTCTGAGTTTTAGAACCCTTTCAGAGGATTAGTTTGTATGCTACCTCTGTAACAACAGAATTGGTGTGATTTGTAGGAATAAGTAGGAAATTAATTGCAGTTCTAACACAGGTGTCCTGTGCAAATTCTTAGTTAATGAATCAGTAGGATCATCAGTATTTGGCCCATTAATTGACATCTACAATAAAAGTTTTGGATTTAATTAGTGATAGTGTGAATGGCAGCAGTTGCTGAAACTGTTGGACCATCAACACCACACTTCAGTGTAACTTCTGAAGTTGAGCTACTTCTACTTTCATTCTACATACTCTGCTTTGCATTGTATTTCCTGGAAGRCAGTAATTAACATACCTCCAGTGACTTCCCCCTGGCCCCCGTCCAGCTGAACAAATTATTTTGCCACTGGTCTGCAATTTAGTAAATTCACATTACTTTTCTTTGCTATTTTCTTTAGTTAAAAGCTTCCAGGTTCATTRTTCCACAGGAAATTGAGATTCCTCTGACTGGGCTAGTAACATGTCAGCAGCTACTGAAYTTSCTGTTACTTCCCCATCAATATTCTTCAGTTTTTAAACAGGAAGTTTCAAAAATTACTGGTTTTGTTTTAGCAAGTGTAAAAATACATAATTTTAATTTGGTGATAAACTCAGTCAATAATTGCATACATGTTGAACAGAAATGGTGATGAAAAGTATAGCTGTTAGAATTCACTTGAATAGTCTCTTGCCTTTTATATAACAAGTTTGAAAAATAAGTAGCCTGTGTTATATAAAATAATTGCATTTACRCTGTAGTGTCAGTTTTGGTGCAAGCGTTGCATCAAACTGAGTCAAATTTTTTTTTCCTAATTGCAATTATCACTTGCTACAAAGTCTCTCTGGATTTCTCATTGCTTTCAGTTGAAGACAAAGCTAATTTAAATAGGGATTCTCTGTAAAAAGTAATAACTTTAMGAGCATGTTTGTATTCTGGTTTGACAACCCGTGCTCTGAATTTTTTGGTTACACTTCTTTTATACTGTAGTRTAAGTTAATTCTGGAATGCACCCTCAAAACTTAAGTTTCTGAACACAAAATATAGGAAGCAGATGCTACAGACTGAGTGCAGCAGACTTTTACAGGCTTAACTTTTACAGGCTTTAACTTTTACAGACATTTACAGGTTTACAGGCTTAACTTCTCATAATCCCATTAAACTGAGGGTCACACAATGAGAGGTTTATACTGCAAACGAGATTACTGAGCTCAAAGTTATCGCAGTAATCAGAGAAGTTTGATTGAAAAATCATCAATCATTTAATGACTGTGCTGCAYTATGTAATGGTAATGAAATATAAAAAGGGTGCCTATTTACCTTTTTCCATTAAGTAGTTGACTGTGTTCCATTTTTCTCCAATCTTATTATATTCCAGTTCTCCRTATAATTGAGAATCTTCCTTCATACTTCTGCCCATAAAGTCAGTGTTCAATATGACTACGTTCAAGAATTCAGTTATTTGTCATTTAAGTTACTGTTCAGCATGATGCTTACTTGAAGACTTAGTTTTAAGTGTTACTGATTGTTTTGTTATTTTTAACATTAAAACATCCGTAATAGCTCATGTCATCTTCCTGTGCAGACACATGTGGTATGTGTTTGCTCCAGGTGAAGACACATTTCTGAATATCTGTAAGTTTAGGCTTTTTTGACTGTTTACCATATTTCCATTGTTTCCCTTCTGCATTAAACTTTTCGTTTCGTTCTTAGCCCATGTTTCTCCATTTCCCATCTCTCCTTTTTCCCTACAATTCCTTTGCACTTGCAGTGTTTCTTACTCAGTCACCTTCTCATCTGCCCCTGCTGACTGACTTTTTTGTGCTCAGTCTGTCTATCCCTTCTGGTCTGCTTTAGGRTGACTAACTTTTGTCTTCTAATAATAGTGAACAGTGGGGCGTTTTGTGTTGAGAGCAAGCATGGTTTCAYATAGATGTGAGATTAGTTTGAAATAATATCTATTCAGGGAGAAAAGTAAGAGGAGACTTCATTTTAGTTTGACTTATCACCATGTTTTGCTTCCTTAAAATACAGAACTTGAAATACTTCAAGAGCTGGAAATGATACTGTTAATTCAAATGGAAGCAGGAATGGGATTGGATTTCATATGTGTACACATTTTAGTTATATAGATAATGCCACTTAATGTTCAAAACTTTTTTATTTACAGGAAATGTGATGCAGTGAAAGTAGCATTCTAAGAAAATTAGTTTTACATAAGTATTTTTTTCTTTCTAGGATTCTTAATCATTCAGTTTCAGTAAACACAAGGAACAGGCCAAAGCAGCCAATGGAATCTGAAAAATGGTATTGATATATTTTAAATGTATCACAGCTTTCAATATTTTATTAGTTTCATTTTTGTTTGTTGTGTCACTACTGCCATCTTCTGTCATAATGCTTGTAGTTCATGGTGAAATTGAAGCTACAAGAGTAATGTATTCTTGAGCTTCTTTCTTTCAGATTAAAAAAAAAATCTCTTCTGAGCATTTAAAAAAGCTGATGTCACCCAGAAACTGATTTGTAGGTCTGATTGTGCTGCTGATTATGGCAGCAATTAATTTCTGTTTTGGGCCTCCAGCTCCAATCTGGAGGGTTGTATCTCCTCCATGGGTCATGGTGCTGTGCACATGTCGTAGATCCTGTGTGACACAAGATGACACTGGAGCTGTGCTGARGCATCTAAATTTTCCTCCTTAGCAGTCCTTTTGTGTGTTTAGAGCTGTTGGAAAAGTGTTGCTGGGAGTTCAACCCACTAAACCCTTTTTATTTGTGGAGCATGTGTTACTGAGGACCCCATTGTCTGCAGCAGCAGCACTTACTCTTTTTCTTTCAGTTTAAAAAAGAAAGCTCAACCCCCACACACAAAGAAAAAAAAAACAAACAAACAAAAGCAACAAACTCAACAGAAAAATCCACCCCCAAAACAATCAATAATCAAAAACACCCAGAGCTTTTCTTTAGGGAATTGGGAACTTTCCAGAGCCCTTTTTGGCTGTGAAACTTGGAGAGAAAAGCTGTAAGTACAGTTTGTGCTAGATAGTGCTTGGATGGGAATGGCTCTCTGCAGTTGAGCTACACCTCAAGGGAGCATCTTGACCCAGCAGAGCTCCTTCAGTGTGGTCCCTCCTGTTTTGGCTGTCTCCTCTCTCGTTGGTACCTGTGGTTTGCAGAGCTGGCTGCACACATGTCCTGTGCTTGGTGACTCATGCTGCAGCTGTTACTTGGAACCTTCCAGGCCTTGCTTGCTTACCACAGTTTCTTCTCTTTGAGTTACTGTCACCTATTCAAGTGTAMCACTCTGTTAGGCCTTTTTATTGTRAGGGTAATCCAGGAATAATTAAATTTGCCTTTTCCATTTTTTCTTAGTGAAACAGACAGTTCTGAGACTTAAAACCAAGACAAACTAAAAACTTTAAATGAAGCTTTATCTGAATAAAGTACTGTAGTGTGGAAGACCTATTGTCAAGTTATGGTAAAGGAAAGTGAAATATGATTTGAAATTCTACTTAAGTGGTCATGCTTTTAAGCCACATTGTGACATTCTTACACAGGTGGCCAAAAACACTGTAGTGCTGTGGAGAAGTCTTCTTTAAAGTGTTCACATTTTCTCATATTTTCAAATAACTTGTTTTAAAGTATGTGAAAARGTAGTGTGCTTCATAATGCCTTTCATCTTACTTTTTAGTGTCTCAACAAATGAAGCRAATTCTCCAGTGTCCCCRTACAGCTGGCAGGTAAAGATTCAAATGTGGTGGCTTTACATGAGTGATTTTGTAGTTGTTGTTTCCTTGATTTTGTCTTTATGGCAGAAAACTTTAATGAATTCATATGGTTGCTTGTACACATAGTTATTGAAGGTGTCTAACTGTGGTGGAAAATATAAACCCTTTCTTATACCTCAAAATAATTTGACTTATATGTAATGGAAGGCTTTTGTTTTAGTATGGTACCAGCTTTAGGGTCCTGAAACTAATTAGGCATAAATTTTACGTTCTTGGTTTTACTATGTCTTTGCACGTAAGTGTATTGCCTCACCATAATGTTCAGTTGGGTTTTAGATGCAACTTTTAAGTGATTTGAATTATGTAGGCCTTTCATTTTCCATRCCTCAATAAGAAGCTTGTATGATATGATAAAATTTCAGTTAAACTGTAAAGATTCTTAAAATWATTTTATATTTTGATCTGTTAGTTATTTACAACTACTTTAAATGCTTTTATATTCTAATAAGAAACAGTTAGAAATGTTGTTTTGCCTTTRGGAAACAGTTCAGATTGTCTGCTTTCAGTTGTCATCAAGTACACAGTCATATATATTTATTATTATTTAAGSATCAGTCTACTTAAGCTGTCCTCCTCAGTAAATTTTGTATAATACAATAATAATTTGAAAGAGTTTTCTCTTACATCTTATTGAGGTATATTACCTTGTAGACAGGAACAGCCAAAAAATACTTAAACTGTCTTGTTGTAGCCATCCTTTCTCTGTGTGATGAGTATTCACCATGAGAAATTCAATGTGCTAGTGGCTAACAATATTTGTAACTGATGCATTTCTGACAGCCTTTGGTGGCTTCCTAACCTACCTACAAAATCTTAATRCAGAAAWGTGTTATTTTCTGAAGAAATATTTCATGGATTCTTCTTCTATGAAATATATTTTAGAATTTGGAAAGAAATAAGTGGTTTCTACCAGAATCACCATTAAGACTCCTAAATGTTTTACAACTAAATTGAGACAGGCAAACAACGAACAATTGTAGTTCATAATAATTTGTGCTAATGCACAAGAGAGGTATATTTACCTTTTACATAAAAATATTTCTGACCATTATAGCCACTGGAAAACCAGAAGGATTCAGTGGATGAGCAGCATTGGCCAGAAACACATCCAGTAATCTGGCAGAATGAAGAAAGAAGGAGAAGTAAACAAATTAGAAAAGAGTATTTCAAGGTAATGGGGGAAGTAAGGGTGGGTGACACTTTTTTTTTAAAATAAGAGTAGAAGAAACTGTAAAACTAAGTACAGGTAAATCCTCAGAGGTTGTGAAGCTTTTAAATTTGCATGGAATTTATAATTTTTTAATTTGATTGTTTTGATTTAATATATATGTATATATTTAGGAAAATCAAGAGGAAAAAAATTGATCAAATATTTTGTTTGTCCTTTAAGTAAAAGAAAATAATTAATTGTTGGTTTCTGGCAAAACCAGAAACTAGTMTTGTAATTGGTTCTTCACCATCTTCAGGGGGATTTTTATTTRTCTATTTATTTACTTATTTCTAGTGCAAGAAGAATATACATTACCTTTTTTCTTGCAGCATGGTTTTAAGAATGATTTATGCATTTTGTGTCTCATGGCATTAGTTTGCATTTCCCAGAAGGGAAATTTTCTGTGTTCCCTTGCTGCTGTAGTGTGTGCCCTCAGTCAGCAGRTGCCACTGTCTGCTTTCTGCAGAAYAGAGGGGAAGTTTTAGCAGTGTTTGGTAACATTTATTTTGGGCTATGTAGAGAAATAGGAGASTTCTGAGCAGAGCTAGGTTGAGTTAAATTAAATTCATCACTTACAAAATTAGTTTCTTGGGTCTTTGCCACCAWACATTTTTGTGAAATGCCAAGGAGCTTCAAAGACATTAAATTCTTGAGAGAACAGATAATTCCATACAGCTCAGATACGTTGCTGTGATTATAAAAGCTCCTTTTTTTTCCTGAAGAGATTATGAAGTTGTATTCTCTTTCCAGTRTTTTCATCCAGAAATTAATTTTTTGCTGCAGCCTTTGAGGAGAGAGAGAAACTTCTAAGTAAAACAGAATTCAGTCATTTSACTTGTTAAGGAGCTGTGCTGCCAATACAGAAGTGATTCCTCATAACTTTCAAGCATGTCTTTAAATGCCAGTCAGTTGTGAGCTCTGAGATGAAGGCAAATGCCTGAAATCCCATTCCATACAGCTACACACATCTCCAAAGTGGATTAAACAGCYTGTACTAGTAACCAAATACATTGTATCATTCATAATTTCATTTCCAAAAGCAAGGCAATAAGCTACTGAAACAGAGCCTGTCTTCCATTGTAAACTGGGAGAAAAAATAGGTACCACTGCTGTTGTGAGAAACCAGTGGCAATGCAGTGAGTGTCTTACTTAGCCTGCATTGTGTGTTAGGTTAGTTAGGTTGGYGATATTCACTCAACAAACTTAGTTTATAGTTATGATCTTTTTAATTCTATTTGCATGGGGCTTTTTATACCTTTTAGTACACTTGCTCTGTAGACTATGAAATACATTTAATTTTTTAAATACCACTACTGTAAATATTTTTCTCAAATTCATCCTTTATTTCTTACACTTTTAGCATAAACAGGGTAGTGGGACAGTGATGAAGGCAGTGCACAACAAATCAGACAGACCTGTGGAAAAAGCATTGTCTTAAATACATAAAAGGGTGTGATCAGACTTCAAGGTTTTGAAGGCAACCTTAATATTTTTTAATTTAATTTTTTAAAATGTCAAGTCAATCTCTTACAGTGTAAGCAACGTTAGTCACATTAAAAAAAATATTATTAGAATAGCTTTCACAGGTTGCATAATTTTTCCTARGAACTGATGCTTCATGTTAGCAGTTGTTAAGATCTTTTCACTTGGATCATCTGTCACATGCAGAGTTCACATTATAAAAGTATTTAGTTATAAAATGCTCTTGTCTCTTGAACATAATGAAGCTCTTGACTAGCCTAGAAACGTCATGTTCTTTTCTGGTTTGTTTCTCTTTTGCTCCTTTGTTTCTGTAACAAGGCTYTTTTTCTCAGCAGCTTCCTCAGTAATAAGTAACATCTGAGTGAGAGCAARCCATTTAGTTCAAATGAAAACCATGCGTTCATTTTAAAATAATAATTGTGTGTGTTTTGCAGTATAAGTCTTCCAGAAAGAGTTCAAGTGGAAATGAAAATGATGAGGTGAGATGTAGTAATTGCGTGAAATATTAAGAAATAAATTTATTCTCTTGTCTTTTTTGAACAAATTAACTTTGCATTCCAAAGCCATAGCAGAAATAACTATTYTACTCCTTTATTCAAAAAGAAATTATCATGATTGCCTACTGGGGAACAGTGGGACCTTTGCATGGTTTGGTAATAGCAAAGTTAATTCGTCTATGTAGTGGAGGTGGTGTGAAACTAATATTTGACATAAAGAGCCAACAGTGGTTCCTTGCCTTGCAGATTTAAAATTTAGTTGCTGCCAGTTTGTAGCATATTTGACAAATGTTGTATGTCTCATGTATTTCATAATTTCGTGYTTCTTGTTAAATCATCATTTTCATTTTTATAATTTCATCTTTTTGATTTCTTTTTAGCAAGACAGTGATAATACTAATGTGTCCCCACAGTCTCCTGTGTCGTCTGAGGTACAAGTTTGTGGGTTTGTTTATCATTCAACAAACATTTCTTTGTGTTCATTGCTGTCACCAGGTTTTTCATGCAGATACAAAGCTGTTAGTTTTCTTTGAAATTACCATTAGAAGTATTTAATCATAATAAGAATTCAAAAATAAACAGAAACTATGGACAGATATTACAGCTTGTTTTACCTTTGCAACTCTGATCTGTCCTAGAGTTCTTCTTTTTGAGTGGTGTGACCAAAGCATTGCTGTGTCTCCACTATCTTTCCTGATAAAAATACTAATGAAATAAAAATGAAATTTGCCATGTTTTAGAGGCCTTCCTAAGGAAGACKGTTCTTCAGGGTACATAGTCATTGAGAGGAAGGATTTAAAGCTTGTGGTTTAGCACTTTATATATCACCAGGAGCCCAAAGGTGCTGCCTATTCTCAAGGAGTTTCTTCCTTCATGGTCCTGGGTGTCACCTTKGTGGTGCAGCCTTACAGCTTCATTCAGGGGTGCCTGTCCATGGAGTCTCACTCTGAGAGCGCTGCACTGCTCAGCTCAAAAYAAAGCAAATATTATTAACATTTCCGCCTCATGTCAATGAGGAGCCTGAAAGAGCAGAATTAGAACATCTCCCAGAACACAGTGAAATGAGTTGAAACAAGGATGTCTCATGTACATACCAAAATACTGAGTGCATCTCCCTTTTTAGATGGTAAAATGAGAAAAAGCTTGATTTTCATACTTGGAAGTAGATATTTCTTAGGAAATACTTTGATGTTAAGCATTGGGAGAATATTTGCATCTGCTTACAGCTGGCTTAAACTGTTCACAGAATGATTTGCAGTAGTTTGAAATATTTTGCAATAGATATTAAGTGATCTGATACTGCTTTACTTTCTCATTGTGGCAGTTTTATCTGTATGTAGTAAGGTTACTTTCATTCAATTTTTGTTACATTGTCCTCTTCAAAAGACTGTTTTACAGTTAAGCAGAAGGACTCTCCTTAAGCAAGAATAATTTAAACAGTGTCTGGATGGGAACAAAAGTTACTCCTTTTAATGAGTGAGGAAGAAAATTGACTTTATCTCTCTTGACAGGATTATGAAAGGACAGATAGTAAYACTCATGGTCCATTTGGTCTCAAACCAAGGTCAGGTAAGCTGTTGTTCTCTACCATGGTGTGTTTATTTTCCAAACTGCAGCAGGTAGTAAGCATAGCAGATGTCACAGTACAGCAGTTCACTCAATTTACTTATCACTGCATAGTACTGGGAAAGGTGTAGACAGCTGCTTTGGCAAGCAGATAATTGGAAGCTCCTCAAGTTGCACAGTGGTTTTTTTTTTTTTACTTTTTTCTCCCTTTGCTTTATTTTCTGCGTATTTTGTCACTGTCAAAGAACAGGGAAACAATATGCAATTGTTCTTGAGGTCTGATGGCTTAAAGACTTTATATTTGATCAAAAGTAAAACATAATGAAAATACTTTAAAAGCTAGATTGAGATTCTTGAAAAAGTGCAAATGGAGTTGTATGTCCCAAACTGATACTTCAGTATTGAAGTCAGTTCTGTCTCCATATTTTCTAATTATCCATTTGCACTTAAGTAAGATGATCTCTGCATTTTATTTGAAAGATGCTTCATAGGCAGTATCTTTTATATCAGGATGCTTAAATATACTTATTCTGCTGTTTTTTCCTGTTTTTATCCTTGGTTATATATCTTCAGTCTTTGAATGTTTTTGATCTGAATTCTGATGACTGACTTCCCTCATGCTTAATAGCTTTCAACCGTGCCTCACGCCAAGACTATGGTGCTGTGGATCCTGGGTTTACTATGAGGAGGAAAATGGAGCATTTAAGGGAGGAAAGGGAACAAATCAGACARCTTCGCAATGTAGGTACCATTATTTATTACATGGGTGCAGTGCATTCAGTTTGCTCTGTAGCACAATTTAAACCTTTAAAATAAAGATCCCCAAATTGTTGTAGTTGTAGAATGGCATCTTTTTAGTGGTGTTTCTTCCTAAGGAATTTCAGGTAGCAGACTACACTGGTACTCGTTTGGGTCCAACCAAAATACCAGCTGGGGACTGGTTGTTTTTTTTTTGCTAAAGACAAAGTGAAATGTTGGGGKTTTTTTCTGAGGTTTAAAATTTTGCTAGGGAGACAATAAGTCTGCTTGTGTTTGCTATTGTATGACCTGAGACCTGAAGAAAAATTCCTGAATAGCCAAATTCTTTCTGAGTGTAGAAAGTTGCTGCAAGTTTCATAATCCTGAGTGGGCTCTGCATATCAGATTTCCAGTAAATTGGGTTTTGTGTAGCTCTGTTTTCAGGGTATTTAACAGAGTTAACTGAATCATAGCAGCTCTGCTCTATAGGGCAGTGTTGATTTGTGGTGTGACTTCTGTGAAGGATGTTGGCTTAGACTGGTTTGCTTCCTGAGAATTGAAGTCTTGTTGGGGTGGGAAAGATCATCACCTTCTCTGTTCTGCAGCACAAGAGTGGGCCCTTCTTGGCCACCCCAACTGTTTGACTGTCATCTGTCCAAGTGAAATAGCCATTCCCACAGTTGTGTTCCCTTATTTTTTTCTTCCTCCTTCTCTTAAAATCCTGTATTCTTTCAACCCACAAATTCTCCCCACTGAGACCTGATGACATATTCAGTATAACACTTCTGTCCTTAAATTCTCTGCTTTCATGTTATGAGTAGTGAGTTCATTGTATGGGTTTGAGAGCTGTATATTCTGGTCATTGTTGGAAAAATGTCTTTCTCAGTGTATGTTGTTGTGTCATTTAAAAAAACCCSAAACAATAAAATAGCATAAAACCCAAGAAGAAACCTAACAATACTAGCAAAGGGAGCATAGGGCTGATGAGAAAAGATGCTTATATGAGTAAAGTGTAAATTTATTCCATTTACTTCACTTTAGTATTAAAATGTTCCTTTTAAACTTCTACGTGCTTAAAAAAGTTGGATTTAAAATTAAAAAATAGCTAATGTTGAAAGTAACTTATTTATGGTCTTATTTCTAGAATCTTGAATCCAGGTTGAAGGTAATTTTGCCAGATGACATTGGAGCAGCATTGATGGATGGGGTGGTTCTTTGCCATTTAGCCAATCACATAAGGCCGCGTTCTGTCGCCAGCATTCACGTCCCATCGCCAGCAGTGGTAAGGCTTAAGTCATTGATCTCATTTCTGGTACATCTTGCATGAAAACATCCTTTTGAATTTCAGTACTAAAACATTGTGAGTCATGTTTGCCGTATTAGTTTGCTACATAACTCACTCCTGTTTTCCTGGAAGAAGCAGTAAACAAGGCTCAGAAGTTTAAGAGCTATTTTTCTCATACTGAGTCTTGGTAGAATGTGTTTTGTGTTTTAGTAACTGAAAGTGAATTTATATGAGAAATACGCAGTCCTTCATGAATGTCTCATGAAGATCTAATGTCCTGTCTTCACAGCCTAAACTCAGCATGGCAAAGTGCCGAAGAAATGTTGAAAACTTTCTTGATGCTTGTAAAAAATTGGGCGTTCCACAGGTACACTAATTGCTTTATTGATTTATTAATAACCACAGAAAATGTCAGCAAATAATAATTTGGGGGGTTTGGGGAGCTTTATTCAGGGAGCAATAGGGACAATTACACCAACCAGAGAATTGAAGATAAGAAGAGAAATTCCATTTGAGGCCTGTGGASTGAACTTGAGGAAGCTACTTTATGGGTTTGTAGTCAGTTCTGTATAGTAAAAGTGTAAAATAAATTGTCATCTAAACAAAGGAATGGACTTGAGAGGGTGATGTTTTATTATTTRAAAGTCTTGAGTTTTGCAACTTCATCATGAATTCAGAGTCTSCTTAGGAAATATCCTACAATTACAGAAGAATGTAGCCTGAATGATTGGCTATCATTTTTAGCATGGCTGTAGTTGTTGTTGTTACTTGTGCTTCTGTTGCTCAGGTTTAACTTCTTACCTCCTTTTCTGAGGGGAAAGTCTAAAAAATGCAATCATTTCCTGCATATTATGAGACAAAAAAGTCCCTTGATCTTTTTTAGTGCAGGAAAAATATTAGTTCATAGATTTAGAAGCTGGCCTACTGCTCTGCTTATAGCTTCTGTCTAGTGTGGAGCCACAGGCCATTCAGAAGCTAGAGATGCTGAGATTTATCACTTGGATTGCTTGTAACACCAGCTGGCAGTTGGGGAAATAGTCCAGCTTGTGCTGAATTTTGAGACTGAATGACTTCCTTGGAGAATGGTTCATTATTGGATTATCAGCACTCTTCTAAGTTGTCCCAAGGGAAAAATTGGTAATATGTCTACAAAACAGGGTAAGGCGGAAGAAGGCCATTGAGCCACCAGCATCTATCAGATCAGCTTGTTTTTCTAATGGCTTATGAAAAGAAAATATTCTCTTTTATGGATATGGCAGTCTTCTATGTATCTTCTCACCTTGTCATAGTTCAACACTTTAAACAGATCTTAAARTATAACAAGTTTCTGCCCATTCTGTTACTGTAGAGAAACACACGTGACAATTAAGGCCTAAGTTGTTTTCTCTGCAAGTGTCTTAGTGCCATAGTGATGTGTGTGTGGCTTCAGAGAATGTGTTTGTTACCTGGGAACAAAAGCATGTTTGTTACCTGGGAACAAAATAGTAATATTTCATTACTAAATGTCCTGTGTTCTTTTTTAGGAGAGACTTTGTTTGCCTCATCACATTCTGGAGGAAAGGGGTCTGGTGAAGGTTGGCCTCACAGTTCAAGCTCTGCTTGAGTTGCCTGCGTTGAAAGTATCTCAGCTTTCTTCCATGTGACATGACTTCTTGGCAGCTAGACAGCTTCCCATTTGCTCTGTTGATATGGATTGCTCTGAGGCAGTTCAGCCTCCTATATGGGAACACCCAAGCCATCAAAAACTAAAATCTGTCCAGATGCTGTAGAGAGCCTTACTTTGGAGCTGTGTATGAAAACCTTGGAGTCAATTCACAGTTAAAAGAACATAATTATTCTTTTTTTTTCTTTTGTAATTGGATGTACAAAGAGATCATGGTAGCATCAGGTTCTTGTTCTAGTTAAGTTAAAAGCTGCCATTAAACATCTCAKTGTTAGAGTTAAATGCTGGATTTCTGTTTTTACATTGAAAATGTTGTTTGAATTATTTTTGAAAGTACAAAGCACACCCCCTGTCACTTTATTTTTTTGAGTCAATCATTTGATTTAAAGATGAGACAAAAATGTAGCGATGGTATGATGGTAAAAATGTGAGCAGCTGATCATTTGTAATCCCCTTTCACTCTCTGAAAGCTTAATATTTGCATTCTTTGTTTTTTGCACTCCTGATTGTAACTTACGCACTTCTAACATTGCCAGTATTGAGTCTGAGTGTATGGTGATTACACAGAACAGTATATAATGGGAAAAGGACACAGTTTGAGTTTTTCTTCTAGGTTGGTGCCAAATATTTTTTTTCAGTTGTACTGTAGATTGTTTACATGTGAAGTGCCTGTGTAATTGATAACTCTTAATAGTCTTAATCATTTTTGAAATTTCTTTGTTTAAAATAGATAAAATGGAAATTTTTTAATATTTTAATAGTTTTTTTGTAAAATCAGTATGTGAAGATTTAAGTAATACCTTCACATTTTTTTGATGTTGGGTGTTTTAAGTTTGTTGCACAATCTAATTGGTTATTTGTTGTTTAATAATTAGAAAATACTGTAAATACTTTTTATTTATGATATTTAATTTGATAATACCTAATTACTTTTGGTTTAATGTATTGTTGGACAAAAAAAACATTGTCTACTTTTTTTCGTTTGGGACAAACAAATACAYATGATGAATAAGACATGAGGACTAGTGATTCATACAGAGTAATTTAGGACATTTTGATAAAACTGCCAAAATCTCAGGTTTACGCTGTGATCAGGCTTTTGTGTGATATTGCTCCTGATCTCACATTACATTTTTACAACAGGTATATTCATAATTTAGTTGGGAAGTATCAGTGTTTATCTTTTTAGTGTTGGCAGGATTTSTTGTGTAGTTTACATGAGTAAGGCATTAGCACACAGGTCAGTTTGTACAGATGTCTCTGGGCTGAGACATGAGATTGATTGATAAATGTGAAAACAAAAAATTTTCACTGTGGTGGTTTTTTGGAACTTCTGAGTTGATGTATGTCTTTGCTTCTGCACAAATTCTTGGTGTTTTGAGAACATTTTGAAACCATACACAGTTGAGTTCTCTCTAAACAAATTGCAAATAATTTCATAATTTTGGTAGTAATYTGTTTGTGTGAGTTTGTTCTTCCTGAATAGGTAGCTCAATTAAAAAAATATTTTGACTGCCACAGATTTTCTATTTCAGGTTAAGTTATTTTCAGTTGAGGGGTATGTTTGCCAAGCATGTGACAAGATTTGATTCTGTTCTTTCCAATTCATCAAGACCTCATGTAATATAATTCATAAAAGAATGAGGGAGGAATATTGTATATTCCTTCTACTGTAGTCCTTAATAGCTGACAGGAAAAAAATTACCTTTTTCTGATAAGTTTTARAAAACCACATATTTTTAAATCCACTGAAACAAGCTGGTGTATGTGTAATAGTTAAAACCCACTATAGTTTATGTAGTGTTTTCTTAAAGTATATCTTAGGGAGAGGCTGGTGTATAAATTAATTTGCAAGTCCTAGATATAAATCCTWGGTTAGATAAATATGTGTTTAAGGAAACTGGATTGCTTTGACCTTTGAAATATGGTATTTCAAATGTATCTCTAATTGTTTTTTAAATCTCTTTTTAATGGTTGTTTTAACAACTTCAGTTTYTGTTTTCATTAAAGGCACTATCTGAAAAGTCATGCAAAAGCTAATGAAAAAGTTAAAATTAACTGAGCAAAATGATTTCCTGTTAMATTTGAAGAACCCAGCCATTCTGAAAGGATAAGTCCCTGTCTTTCATTTCACTGTTGTTGCCACTACCAAAGTTCTGGTTTGGAGTTAGCCATRGAAGTGCTAACTATAAGTTGTCACTGTCAGTTGTCTGAAAACCAATCTCCACTGCTATTTCATTGTGTATTTAAAAATGTTTCCTGATGTTAAAGTAACATTTTTCCTTGGACTGCTAAAATGTTACATCACAGTGTAAACAGCAAGAATTCCCTTGATATAGTATGGCAGCTGCTTGCTAGTTAGGGTTTTTTTAAGCTCTCCTTAGTAAGTTGAAAATTGGATACAAAACTTATGTATTCATTTTAAAGTGAAATGAACTAAAATTATTACTAAAATAACATCTATTTTTTTTAGTACTCTGAAGTTGTTCCCCACAAACTTGCACAAAACAGTTTTGCTTTGCCATTCCTTGGAAATTATTGTGGCTGCCTCCTTGCTTATGGGGAAGGATAATCATGATTCTTCCAGAGCTTCTCTTTTCACATKGCAAAGTTTAAAGCCTTCAAGTACCCTTAGGAGCAGTCTGAGAAAAGATACACTTTGCTTGGATGAATCTTTTTCTCATCTCTAACTGCTTTACAAATTACAATAATCTGAAGCCTTGCTAATATTGGCTTGTATCCATTGTGATTTTTTTTAAGAGCAGTTGCAAAAACGACGCTACCAAGATTTTGCCTACTCTTCTTCTTTCTCCCTTTCCTTGTCTGTTCTTAGATTTAGTGCATTCATTATGTTGATTACTCTGTGTCACTTTCCTCCTTCCCATTAAATTTTTTTAAGAGATTGCTCCAGTGGCATGGGTGAGCTATTGTGTTTCCAGAATCCCTGCTCCAAACATTTGCAATGTTTGAGATACCCTTTTCCTGTTTTGTTTAGGATGTGATGCCATTACTTAGTACTTGGCAGGATAGTTAAAAACAGAGGCCTGCTCAGTTCCTGTTGCAGTTGTTCAGTTTTTACTTAAGATATTAAGAAAAGTCAACATTAAAAGCTTTAAGAAGCTGCATTGTTTTCCTAATAAACTTAAGAGTTAACTGCAATAATGTGGCATAAACTGTAAATTACAGAGTGAATCAGCATTGTGGCAGGGCTTCTGGCCTTGTGTGTTTATTCTGTGTTTTATGTCACTGGATGCAGTGTGTCACACAAGATTGATCTTTCACTTGAGCAATAATGTCCCAGATATGGTGAGGTGTTAAAGCAGTGACTAATATAATTGTGAAGTGTGGTGTCTTCCCACAGAGCATCTCAGAAATGCTTCACATGTCCTCCAACACTGCTAATCCAGTATCCTCACTGGGACACTGCTGGGGGTGTTGAAACCATCTAGACCCCTGTAGCTGGAGGCCTTCCAAAATCTAACCAAGAACGATGAGCATCAAATAGGGAGGAATTTATTTGAAACAATAAATAACTATGACATGAATCATAAGGTTTTTTTGTTTTTTTTTTTTTTTTTTAAATCCTAGCCTTACTGAAGTCAAAGCAAGTTTTATCCATGACTTCAATAGATTCTGACCTTTCTGATTTGTGGAACACCTGAGCTGGAGASCATAGCAAACATGACTTAAAGTTGTTTGACACTAGCAAAACTTTAGTGTCAAATCCTTGACTAAAAATAATGGTCTCTGGTAAGTCAAATAAAGCTGTAAAACRTTGTATGGATTCATTTAATAAACATTTTCTGATATGCCAAACRCAGTATTTAGATGGTAGGAAACATTACATTGAAGCACAGCTTTCATGTGATGGGATGGTGTTGTTACCTCAATAAAACTGTAGATGAGTACAACCATTAGTTTTTTACTGCACTAAAAACTTTATTTCAAATATCATATAATTATGTGGCAGTTTCCTCAGATTTTGAAGTAAATCTGTAGCCAGATCCAAACAAAAGTGAAGACATCTGTTTTCAYTAAAACAGAACTTCCATGTGTCATTTTGGTACTGAAGAGAAAGACGAAGGTCTGGCACTTCTTCCTTCTGCTGATTCCTTAAATCCTTGTTTGAAAGGCTGATTAACTGATTTCARTTGAAAGYAACCTGTGGGAGCTTTTAGCACTTSTGCAGCTAGGAGATGTGATTTGGTATTGGCAAATCAAATGTCACTTTTCCCTCACCAAGTCAGGCTGATGTCTGTATTCCTTTTAGAGGATCTACTTGAAAAGCAAAAGCAGATAAAACACCGCCCCAACACACACATGCTTGGAATTAAAAAAATGTCATTAAGAGCAGGAGTGGGAAAGGCAAAGTAGAGTTGTCCAAGGAGAGAGTGTTCTGAATTGATTTCACATTGAATCACTTGATCAGGAAAAGCCTTTAGTCTTAGAGAAGGAAGGATGTGTTTTGTAGCGTGCTGAGGGATGTGCATCCTTTAGTACGTGGAGCTTTCAGTAGAGGTTAGAATAACAAGGAGTCTGCCATCTTTGATGCCCAGAGCTGTTTGGTTTGGACAGCTGTGTCCCAGTGCTGCAGGAAGCGTGGCTGACAGWGCACAGAGCAGTGCCCAGCCCTGGGCAGGGCTCACCTGGCATGGGCCACTGGGGATCCCTGACTTTGTGCCAGCGAGCCCTGCCTGTCCCGGCAGCTGCTACAGAAACACCTCCTGGCTCTTAGAGAGATGCTGCAACCTGAATAAAAACACCAATTGATAACTTTGAGAGTAATCAATAATAAAACTTTACCAACATTAACTTTCACCAGCAATGGATGATGTAGTGATGCTGAAGAAGCTTTTGCTGTCGGATGTACAGAACTTTTCTGATTGAAAATTTTACCATGGCTCTGAACAGGTTAATGTGGCCCTTGTGCACTTCCATGAGGGATTGAAAATAGTATTACTGGGTTTGTTCAGATGCAGCACTCTGGGTCRTGTGTAACTCATGTACAAACAGAGGGGAAGGTGAACTGTGTGTTTTTAATGAGGAATGTTATGGTACAAGTTTGTTTTGTAAAATAAAGATGAAGATAAATTAGTATTTTCCTGTGAAGAAAAATTCTGMTGATCTTCACTGTTTAAATCGAGAGTATATGTGTTTAATTGAATTTTAGTTTAAACTTACCACTGCACAGGAGCAGTTCTGGCTCCTGTGTTACAAAATAAAATGCCCTTTGCTTTGTTTGTCTTTAAATATTTTACATAGTATCATTTTGGCAACATATTATCTTARAATTGTGGTTATATGAAGTGTTTGTTCCCTCATTGGTTTTGATATTTTTTTTTTAGCATGAGAGACAAAGGACAGCAAAATTGCTGCAARCTACCTGATCAGTTTGTAGGGATGGAGCACCAGTTATCATAAAATTACATGTTATCAGTTTTAGTTCAAATTATACRTAGCCAATTACATTTTCGAAAAAGAACTTTTAGTGTGTTTTTTCCATTCACATTTTAGAATCCTAAACTTAAGCAAAAGCCAAAAAGTTTTTCTGTGGTTACTCTTGTATCTTAGCAAATTTTAAAGAAGAATAGCTCAGACTGACAGCAAATTTAATTATTTGGAAAAATTTTTWTTTTGGCAGCATTAAATTTGCCATTGAACTTGATCAGTTTAAAGTCTTTTCCAACCTAAATGAGTCTATGATTGTAAGACTTCAGTGAGACCAGATTTTCTCTCCAGAATAAACTCAGCTACAACATGAAGTCAGTCATTTAAGGTGAATTCTTGTCACTAAGGAGGGTTTCATCACTTCATTCAAAGTGGTGTGAAATAAAGCAAACATAACTTTTTCCTTCATAGTTTTATGAAGGCTGATTGTAAAATAGAGAATATTTGGAAATGCCACAAGGATACTTCTTTGCTTTGTTTCATTTTAAAATGAGCGAACTGGTGAAATATTCCCAAAATTATTATATTTGTGTTGGGTTTGGTCATGCTGTAGCTGGGATGGGAACTCGCAGTGACTGTTCAGTATTAATTTGTATTCTGCAGCTTGTCCTAGACTGTGCCCTTAACATGCAGATGTTGCTGCAGTTGTGTTTGCTCAAGGGATGTGTTACATGCAGCGTTCTGGGAGCTGCTCGAGGCTCTGGCATTGGCAGCATGGCAAGAGATTCCCASGAGGGACACACACGGGCGTAGTGAAAAAGGGTGCATTAGTGGAATACATTGGGAATAATGTGAATACTTTCTACTGTTAGTGATGTCTAGAACAATGGAAATGTGATTGCTTTACCATTATCATTCAGTTGGTATTCAGTTATTTTCTTTTGCAACCTGTGGTTATAAAACTCAGAAGATGCAATGTAACCAAAAGGTCAATATGTAAATGTGTGCAGGATGTGGCAAAAGTAGTTCTGAGGGCACAGCTGGAGAGTGATCATTAAAAATAGATGCTCAAATTGTGTATATACTTGCAAAATTTTTGATAGTGCATTTCAATTGATTTTGCATTTCATGTTCTTGTAAAGTGCATCTTTCACACTTTCAAAGATTGTCTACTTGTACTATACTGTATTAAGCCTATTTTCAGGATTTCCATTATTGCTGGAGCTTCCAACATACCTGTTTCTTTCGAAAAATGTTCTTACTGTTTGTTTTTTTTTTGTAAATAGTGTTTTGTATTAAATTTGCATGGATAAAACCCACGTTTCCAAAACCAGTGTACATATGCTGTGTATAAAATACAAACTGTTTCATAATTTTCATGTAGTCAAGTTATTCAATTTGATTTCATTTCAGTTTATMTATTTGTAGTAAATAATGAGAATTTGTTGTATGTTCTCTCAAATGTCTGTGTTGTCATTTTGATAGATAAGTGACCTGCCTCATTACATCAGGAAACACATTCTTTGACAAATAAAAGAAAGGCTGACTCCTGTTCAGGGAAGTCGGGCGTTCGCATGAAGTATGCTGGGACTTCAGTTTTGATCAGCAGGGGAAATGGTGAAAATAYGAGAATCAAGATGCCTTCACTTGTAGCAATCTTTATACATTTACACACTCTTTGTCTCACACGTGCAAACCACCCAATGTCTTCTAGCCTATGTTTTTGGAGCAGCATAGTTTTGGAATCTTGCTAATGATAAGCTTAAACCATTACAGAAATTCCTTCCGAGGAAGGTGATCTGCTTCCCTTCTGTTCCCCTGGGCTGGATCTGGCAATAGCACAGATAATCTTCTGTGTGGTTTGCAGTCGTTAATTGCTTGACCCAGCATTTGGGAAACAGAATTTTGGAGCTGAAGTTCAGCTGGGTTATTCAAGTGTAYGTTAACAAAGAATTTTATGTGACCAAATTTATTTTAATTCATTTTTGATTATTTAAAGATGTGGACAATTTTATTTTTAGACCTGAATATTGAAAGTAAATACTCTCTTTTGAGAGATGTTTTTCCCTGTGAGACCTTGTTCTGCACCTGCACACACTGAGCTGCTCTTTTTTTCTKATAAGGCACAGCTGGGGACTGTAAAGCAGAAATTGAGGAATAGTATTACAAAGAAATAGACACCATTTCTTGACAACGGCATCTCAACAGCTGGAACTTTGTTTGCAGTTACCAATGAGGGGTTTGTGGTTGAAATATTCTGTTGAGTCTGTTGTTCATTTTCAGCTCTGAGGAAAACTTTCTTCTTGTGAAAAGTTTTTTTAAGGATGTTTAAGAGGAATGATGCCATGTTCAGCAGCCTCTGTTCCAAGCTGAACTCCATGAAATTCAAGCCTGATGAGCTGCTGAGGGAAATGGGGATATTTAGCCTGGAGAAAAGGAGGCTCAGGGGGAACCTCATCACTCTACAGCTCCCAGAAGGGGGATTGGAGCCATGTGGGGGTTGGTCTSTTTGCCAGGTAACAAGTAACAGAATGAGAGGAAACAGCTTTGAGTTATGCCGGGGAGGTTTAGATTGAATATTAGGAAAAAAATTATTCTCTGGAAGGGTTGGAACAGCCTGCCCAGGGCAGGGTTGGAGTCACCATGCCTGGAAAAGGTCAAAAGCTGTGTGGATGTGGCACCTGGGAATATGAGTTAATGGTGGCCACAAGGATGCTGGGCTAATGGTTGAACTCAATCGTCTCTGGAGTCTTTTCCAACCTTAATGATTATGTCATTCTAAGATGAAAATTAACTCTGTCCCAGTTGAAACCAAGACAATGACATAATACRATTTTGATTTCAATGAAACTGTTAGAGCTACATTTCCTACTCTTCCTCTGTCCAAAGATGTTTGTTGCTTTTTCTCTTAATGAATTTCCAGATATCCTTCTTTTCCATGGTCAGTGGAAGCTGAAATCCTTTTGCAGTTTGAGTGAGAAATACTGATCTCTTCCATGTAAATKTTTATTTGTGTTAATAAGAATATGACATTCTAGACTGATTCCACATTGTTCATTTCACCCACTCCCTTTTGATCTCCAAAATCTCCAGCTCTCCTACCAGAAATAGAAACAAAAGGCAAAGCAACAGCTAACACTGAATTTCCTAGCAGAAGCTTACAAGTGCATGAACTTCTGGAGAATACTTAATAAGAAACCATCCCACACTCCATGTATTCTCCAGCCCCCAGTAATCAGAAGCAAAAGAAAGCAGGATCTCTGAAAACTTTAAGTGGTACAATTTAGAAATGGTTAGTAGTGTTGAATTCAGTTCCAAATAGTGTTTGTATAAAAACTGTTGTCCTCCACTAATCATGGGGTAATGTGTCTAACTTGCACTTTTCACTGTGTACTGAAATAGTAAGAGCATTCTGTTCTTTCTCCAGTAAGGACATTCACACAGTGATGAAACTCAGATGCTTCTGCCAACAGTGATAATTTTGTCATTTTTGGCTTAAGAAACATAAACTTCTATTTCCCAGGAATATCAGTTGAAAGGATGGTTATATTTTTTTTTCTGGTGAAATGATAGGGGAGTTCCCAGAGTTTTCCTCCTCCTGTATATGCAAACTAAGGATTACAAAAGAAGAGAGGTAGCAGATAGACCACCCCAGTGAACAAACCATAATTTATTACTCAGTGTTACTGCCCTTCTGTGAGCAGTGCCTTGCTGGCCTGACTGTCTGTTTTTGTAGTCTTGCCTGTATATGGCATCATCAAGTTTTATTTGTGTATTTGGGAACTTTGAAACTCYCATTTCTAATTTTTAGTTTTGCTAGTAGCTCAGGAACAGCCTTATCACACAGACTGCATCTGACATGTTCTTTTCAATAACTGGCATTGACATTTTATTCAAATTTCTTCCATTGCAAATTTAAGAGTTGTGTTTGATGCATAAATTGAAATGAAAAACCTTTTATTTAGGAAAAATACTTGATTCTTTCAGGATTTATGTGCCACTAAGCTTAAGTTAATTTTTTTTTTTCAATTATTTGTCCTTTCAGATATCAACAAACTGCAAAGAGTTCTCATTTGCCTAAAASCAAACTCAGAATTGCCATAATGTGCTTAGAAGACATCTATAAAACAGTGCAGATCTTATCACTTCTGTTCCCACAGGTACAGATGGGGAAAGAAACCTCATCACCATCTGGTTTTTCTCACTTGGACTTTTGCATAAACCAAGAAAGCCTTATGCACAGAAAGGTAAATATAGTTTCTCTAAAYGTAAATATTTTAAAACTAAATTTGTTGTTGTAAAAGCCGCAACAAACTCATGTCTAAATTGACAGTTTACTCAATAATGGTAAAAATGTGAGGTATTTTTCACTTTCTGACAGACTGCATCTGCTTGACAATATTGCAGCTTGAATTATCCTGTGTACACTTCCGAGTGCTCTGTCTGCAGGCTGTGAATCTCCTTTATTTTGGCCAGAGAACTGCTCCTGCACTCTGATCTCCAGAACCACAGGGCAGCCATTGCTCTTTGTCCCTTTTGCAGCTTGCTTTATACAAATAAACACCTTTTCCTGGTGCCACTGAAGGTGTGACCCTTCCAAGCTTATAAATATGATAAAGCCAAGCAAAGGATGTGGCAGTTAAAAATACACGTCTGGGTGGTGCTCAGGGCTGCTGAAGGAGTTTMCAAACCATCCCAGCTTGGGTTTGTTTGAAAGTGTTGATTCACTGCAGAGGTGTAACTCCTTAGGTTCCTTTCATGAAGGGAAGATGCTGTGGTTGGTGCCAGTGCTGCTTGGTGAACTCCGACAGGAAAACCCAGCACAGCCTCCACCGAAAAGGATCCTCAAGGGATTTCCATGGGATGGCCCTCCCCAGGCTCTGGCTGTGGAACTGTGCTGTGATTCTGTGGAGGTTTGAGCAGCATTACCTTCAGGTCTGGTCAGACTGACCTAAGCCTTTATTAATGCTGTAAATTGTTGATAAATTAATTATCTGGCAAAA